GATCCATTGTTTCTTCTTGTTTTTTTGTTTTGTTTTGTTTTTATCAGTTTCCTGTTTCTTCCTGCAGGAAGTGTTCAGGAAAAGAAAAGCTCCGGACTCAGGTGTGCTCTTCTCAGCCTCCACATTTGTCACTTCCAAACTGACTTTCATGACATCTGAAACACCTTTTTAATCATGATTTGTTTTTGCAGACCCGTGAGAAATGTAACAGAAAAACACTGACAGCAAAAAGAATGACCAAACCCACATGACTCATTTTAGCTGATAATTTCTTTTTTTTTACTCACAACCTGAAGACTCTTTTTATATAAAGGGTTTTATACATTTATCTATTTAGGTTACCTGTTACCTGTTCCTGTATTTAGGTTACCTGTCAGATCAAACTGAGGGTGAGTTGGTCCACAAGAGAAGGGCAGCGTTTCAACAAGACGGAGAAGGATCAGGTAAATTCTTATACTTTTCACAAAGTTTGCCTGAAGTTAAAATGATTGATAATGTTGCTCCAGCTCACCTGGTTATAGACCGCTCACCTAAAGAGCCGTGGCTGTTAACAGAGGAGGCGGGACCACCTGTGGACAGTGAGACTCCTGAGCTGAGAGCAGAGTCAGACCTGATGTATGGTATAACAGCTTCCATCAAAACCTTCAGAGCACAGCTGGAGGAACACTTCACTGTCAGTAACCACATCTTATTGATTATTGGTTTTATTATTGGCTGTGATTAGATAATCGGTAACTCAAATTTCAGGGCCACTGGCAGAAAGTTGAAACTGAAATTCTTCTTTCGCTAAAGGAGCAACAACAACATGTGTCCGCCCTGCTCATGGCTCTACATCAACACAGGTACAGCATACAGAATCCACTTCTCCATACCCAGGATCTCTTTTGACTTCTTATTTTTACATCATCACTCACAAGAAGTTAGTTTTCTACTTGATTAGACAACTCATGGGTTCATCTATCTAGCTATGAGCATGTTCAGAAACATGCACAGCTGTACTGCTTGCAGAGCAACTGATTTTACAACTAAAACTATAATATTATAAAAATCTGAACAGGCTTAGGCAGGCTGTCACCGGGTGTTCACTCGCTCTATGGTAGAATATCACTTTCTGTTCCTGTTCCAACACACAATGGTGTTTTTCTGTAGCCAATTTAATTGTTTAGTAAGTCCTGAGGATCCCTGGAGAGAAAATGAACTTCCTCAGTTGTCGGAGATGATACATGTGCTGCCTAGCTTTTTTGGTCTGGACCTGAATGTGGGCAGACCATGTCAGGTCTGAGGAGATGTGGACACCGATGTACTTGAAGGACTGCACCCTCTCCACTGGACCTCCATTGATGATAATAGGCTTGTAGTCTCTGTGCTGACTCCTTAAGTCCACCACCAGCTCCTTGGTCCTACAGATGTTCAGCTGGAGGTTAAGTACTAGGGGTGATCAACCAATTACCCAATCCCAGGACAGGAACCAACTCCACCAAACAACTCAGCAGGCACACTCAGGTGTCCATCCCTGAGAGACAGAGAGAAAAGGAAAAACACACAGCCATCGTCTGGTGGGAGGAGTCACACATAAAGAACAAACACTCATAACATTGAATAATGACAGAAGGTATTACAGGTACTGCACTGCAGTGGTTTGTATCATATCTATCTAATAGACTCCAGTTTGTGCATGTAAATGGAGAGTCCTCTTCACACACTGAGGTTAATGATGACACCCAGCTCTATCTATCCAGGACATGTCCTTCAACGCACATATTAAACAAATATGTAAGACTGCTTTCTTCCATTT